AGATGTTCCAAAACCTTTTCAAGTCTTAGTTTAATACCTGTAGCAAGCCAGGAAAACTATCTACACAAAGAGATTGAAGATTAATACTTGGAACTAAACAGGATGAGTACTATAACCTCAACGGTATACTCTCGGTGAGCACGAGTCAGTTCCTAAATCTCAAACAAAGTTAGACTTCCCCAATGGAATCTTCTACAACAACGGGTATGCAAGTTCTCGCTAAGGAATCTCTTATGCGATCGACACTCCTGCAGATGGCATCTATAAGCCCATCCTCCTACCAACAACCTCCAGATGGCATCCATAATCCCGTCCTCCTACCAACAACCTCCAGATGGCATCCATAAGCCCATCCTCCTACCAACAATCTCCAAATGGCATCTGTAAGCCCATTCCCGATGTCACAATGCTGATACTACACCATGTGAGTACAAATTTATGGGCACTCTAGTGTTCAATTATCTTCCACCTTCGGATCGTGAAAGGCTAGAAAGCCAATCTATATCCTCAGGTTTAAGAAAATTGAACAGGGGCAACTGTTGCACCCCAAAATTTGCCCTCTCATGTTTTCCAAAGTCTTCCCTCTGCCTGGTTGATCGCAAACTCTTGCCTAAGGAAAAAGAATATTTTTGAGTGGTACTTTAAGTATCTTTTGATTGGCATCCTGAAAGACCCTTCGATTGGAATTCTGAAGGAGTCTTTCGATTGGCATTATGGACAAGCATTCAATTGGAATTATGTTAAGGCAATTTCGACGGGCATGTCAACCATGTCCTTCAATTGGCATGAACAACACCTTTTGATTAGCTTGTTAGCAGAGCCTTTCGATTGGAATACTTCGATTGATATTTGGGCCAGGCCCATTCGAAGGGTACGCAGGGAGTCCATTCGAAAGAGGCAAATCAGGACTAATCAAAGAGCATGGCCTGAAAGCATTTGAAATCCAAGCGTCCAGGTTCATTCAAGGGACACGAATGTTTCAAAAGAGGAAATAATTTAATGTGTTTGATTTTTTGTCCAGAGCGTTAAAGGCCTATTTTAATGGCTGTCCCTTGCCATTACTGCACCCTCACACCCCTATAAATACAGAGGCCAGCATACATTACCAACACACGAAAATTACACGAAAATTACACGAAAATCAGAGGAAAATCACACACGAAAATATACAACGAAACACACAAAACTCTGCAGGAGAACACACAGAAAAATTACCTCAAAGAGCCAAAGCAGTCCTTCAGATCAAAGGTGCCCGCGCCCAGAAGCCCAGATCGAAAGTGCCTGTATCCAGGAAGTGTCCAGATCGAAGGTGCCTACGTCCAGCAAACGTCCAAATCGAAGATCCAATCTGCTGGTAAGAAAGGATAAATTATTCAACCTCATATTTGCATAATACATTCATACTTGTTGTTACCTCTGATTTGCCATCCTAGACAGGATTGAAAGGCCTGGGTTTGGCACCCAGGTCATGTTTTTCGTTTGCTAACACTTGCTGCAGACATAGCCTAAAGGGACCCATCAAGCGTAGGATTGAAGGGTCTGGGGTTCAATACCCAGGCCCTGCATTTTATTTCGCTCACATACTTTTGCAGGTATAACAGCCCAGATCGAAGGAGACACTTTCTTTGGATCGAACCCATTAGCATACTGGATCGAAGGAGGTATCTCATTCTTGGATCGAAAGCCATGACCTCCATGATCAGAAGACAATCCTCTTCCTTGGATCAAAGGCCACTCACGCCTTACTGTCTGGCCCAATAGAAAGGACCAGGACCCTCTCTGGATCGAAGCAGTCCATTCCCTCTCTGGGTCGAAGCTCCTTTTTCCTTGGATCGAAGGATCCCTCTTGCATTTTATTTTTGTTTTCCATAGACTTATTTTTTTAATCTTTTTTAATTAACCTTAAAATCAAAAACCACAAAAACATTAGGCTAGTTCTTTTTCTATTAAATTAATCTTGTTAATTAAACCTTTTAATTATATTAACATTTTTCCAAAAAACTAAAATTAAATAGATTTAGATTATTTTCCCAAAATAAAATAAAACATAAAAAAGATTTTCTTATTTATTTAGAAATTTGTTAGACGCCTCTTTTTCCTTGTTCTACGCGTGTTTATTTTATTGTAACTGCCTACTGGTTTGTAATAGCTTAAACTTTTACTTTACTGCTTTTTATTCCCCAATTTTGGACATGTAAATAATCCCCCTCCCCGAAGCCTTGTAATAGCGTAGGATTTACAATTCCCGCACTTTAAATCTCTGTACACATATTAACTGCTTAGATGTATGCTAACTAGGATTGTATGACAAGATCTGTCTTAACTTAAAATCAACAATAGCTCACCATGACATGCAAGAGTAAAATAACTGAAAATTGACACACTTGCACATGCCACTCCTAGGGTACACCTCACTTGGTTGCCTCGAACGTGGTCATTAAGTATAGGATGTTTTAGAGGTCTTCCTTTGTCCCAAGATCATAAGTTGCCTCGAAATGGTCGTCTCGATAAAAATGATCTAAGACATTAGGATTACCACTAAAGCATCCTAACGTTGCTTTAGTGACCACACGTTCCTAAAATCGAATTGACCCGAAAACTCCAACGACGGTGCTACCTACTCCTCAATAGTGGGATAGCACTGTCTAAAGGATATTTGCACAATTAAATTCCTTCTTGAGTAGGTAGAGGTTCTTAAGTACTTGCTCCTTTTAAAAACAAAACAAAAACTTTTCGCACTTACACTTTCTTCAAAAACAAAACCTTTTTTTTTAAAACCCACAATCACAAAGAAAAGCAAACCTTTTGAAAACATAGTGAGCAAGTACCTAAGAGCCCGAGGATAACCACGGATAGAAAGGGTGCTAACACCTTCCCTTTATATAATCTACCTCCCGAACCCGAGAAACAATCTCGAAAAGGAATTTTTTCTGTGCTTTTGTCCTTTCCCTTGTTGGATAAAATTAAAGACGGTGATGACTCTTGCTTACCGCGACACTTTGCAAAAACAAACGCAAACGCGAACCAGCATTCCAAAAAACAGTCAGTTCTCGTTCCCACCGATCACAGTATCCAACCCATTATTCGTGATTGTGATCGGTGGAAATAGAACTGACTGTTTAAAGCTGGTTCGTGAAATGTCGCAGAAGCAAGAGTCGCCACCATCTTTTATTTTCTCCAACATGGACAGGACAAAAGCACAGCAAAATTCCTTATGAGAATGTTTCTCGGTTCGGGAGGTAGATTTATAGAAAGGGAAGGTGTTAGCACCCTTTCTATCCATGGTTATCCATGGGCTCTTAGGTACTTGCTATTACGTTTTCAAAATGTTTGCTTTTCAAATGTGAGTGGGTTTGAAAAAGTTTCATTGAAAGATTTCTGAATGACTCTTGTATCTGTCCTCAAGAGTGTTTGAAAAATTTGTTTTGAAAGCTTTTGAAAGTGTAAGGTGTGAAAAGTATTTTATTTGTTTTGAAGAGAGCAAGTACCCATGAGTCATCTACCTACCCTAAGGAATTAAGCTGTGTAAGTGTCCTTTAGATAGTGCTATCCCACTATTGAGAGGTAGGTAGCACCATCGTTGGAGGTGTTCGGGTCAATTCGATTGTAGGGACAGTGTGGTCACCGAAGCAACAGTTAGGACACCTTAGAAGTAACCCTAATGTCCTAGATCCTTTTTAATCCGAGGCAACCGTTTTGAGGCAACTGTTTTGAGGCAACTGGATCTTTAGACTAAGGGTGACCTCTAAAACGTCCTATACTTGATGACCACGTTTCGAAGGCAACGAGTGAGGCGTGCCCTAGAAGTGGTGTGTGCATTGTGTGTTGTATTCAGTTAATGTTTGTCTTTGTAATTAGTGAGCTACGAGTTGTTTTTTATTTACATACATTCTTTCATGCAAGTTAACAGTTAAGGGGTGCGGAAAGTAAACTGCGGAAACATAAATCCTACACTATTACAAGGCGCGAGTCTATACATTGCCAAAAATACAAAGACCCGTTTTTGGTAAATAAGTGCGGAAAGTAAATAAAAACAGTAAACCTAATTAGCTATTACATGTCTTGGAAGCAATTACATAATAATAAACTGTACGTGAATAAAAATTAAATCGGAATGTTCTAAGAGTGTTGACCCTTTTAAGAAAAGAAATTGATTTTTTTGGTCTTTTTGGAATTCAATGCAATTAATTAAATAAACCTAATCTAATTAATTAAATTTTTTTTAAGGAAAATATACTTTTTTGTGTTTTATGTTTTTTATGAAATAAAATAAAAAAGAAACAAAATTAAAAGTTAACCTAAATCTAAGTTATTTTAATTGTTAAAAGAAAAGTCAAAATTGTCTAATTAAACTATTTCAATTAATGTTTATTTACAAAATAAAATGAAATTAATAATGTTAATAAATGTTAATTCTATTTTTGATTTTTTATGAAAATATTAGTTGGTTAATTATGTTAATAAGAAATAAAAATAAGGTAAATAAAAGAAAATGACAAAAAAAAAAGACTAAACCCAAGGGGGTGTGGGCTGGAATTTGAGGGTGCATTGTTGAATTTTGGCCCATTTGAACCTTCAACTCGTTTGACTTTTTGGACTGAGTGGAGCGCTGTTGACTCCTGAGCATGGTGCTCCTGCTTTCTGGGCCCTTGGATTTGCATCTGTGGACACTTGGCCATTAGGCTGCTTGTTTCTATTTGTTAATATTTTTTTGATGCGCCTCCTTTTGTTGTTTCCCTTTGCAAGACATTGATTTTGACTTTTCAAACCTTTCACTCAACCAACCAGATTGTGAAAAGCGTCTAACTAATAATAATAAAAAAAACAACAAGATATAAAACAACATAGCTGGATCACGCTAACAAATCTGTTTCTTCTTCCTTTAATCAATTTCCCTTCAGACCCCAGTGTGAAGCATTCGGAAACCTGGATCGAAAGAAGAAAAAAAGACAAAGAGCAAAGGCAACTCACAATACCAAAATCCAGCGGCGATTGGGGGTATGAGTGGTGGTGCTTCCACTGAGGGTCGTTGGTTGCGGGAGAACGACTATGCGGTGTCGATTTGCAATGTTGCAGTGCTACTGTAAGCATAGAGTGGTGACAGAGACTGCAACTCCGGTAGAGAGTTGTTATTGACGGCGAAAATGGGATCTATGACATGGATGAAAGCGTCTTGGCTCTGCAGACTATGGCGGAGCGACGAATCCCGTGCCGGAATCGTGCGGGTCTACTGCGGCCGGTTGTGTGATCCTGGTCGGGTTGTGAGGATGATGGCGGATTGGAGAGCTTTTGATGGAGGCTTGCGGAGACTTCACGGTGGAAGCTTGTGTGCATTCTGCGCGTGGTCGGCGTTTGTAATAAGCTACGGCGGAGCCCAGGTTGTTGAGGTTGTTGGAGCATGACGGCAAGGCTGTTGGTTGCTGGTTGTTAGATGAAGGCAAGCTAGCGGTACCACGGAGGGAGAACGGCGGTGAGGTGAACTGATGATGTTTGAAGGTAAACGGAAGAATGGAAATTAGATGGGTTGGTGTTTGAGATGAAGCCTTTTTTTTTACTGCAAGTGATCATCTTATGGTTTCATGATGATGAGTTTCATTTGTATGGAGCTTTTTTAGGTCGTGTATGGTATCAGGAATGCTTGCATATCTGTTTTGTAATGTGTATCAATCCAAATAATGGACATTAAGCCTTTGCACTTATGTTTGAGATTTTGCCATAACCTCCATTTAAACAACTTGCCATTTTTGTGAAAATTTGAATTTCTTGCTTGGAATAGGCCTTGCAAGAATTTGGTAAGTACTTCATGGTGCATCAAAGCAATTCAACACAAAATATATCCCTCCATTAATTTTCTTGATTTTTATTTGAATTTTAAAGATTTAAAATGAATTAAATCAAATAAAATTAAATAAAAATGGAAAAATTAATTTTTAATTTTGAAATAAATTGTGGGACACGTGGGAGGCATGGCCAAGCTGAATCAAGTGGAAAAAGTGGGCCCTCTTTGTCAAAAATGAAATTTCAAGGATAGTTGACTTTGGCCATTTCACAAACATTTCCCAACTTCTCCAATGCATATCTTGCTCAATTTTGATCATATGAACATGTTCTTGGACATTTTGGAAAGGTCTTGAAGTCCTCTAACCAATGTCTTTGGTCCCATGTCATTTTGATTTACCAATCTCAAGTTATGGTCTTTTACTTAAAGTGCCTTTTTGTTGACTTTTGAAAATGACCTATAATGTTGAAATTGATAACTTTTTGTGAGAGCATTTCTTGGACTTGGAATGTGAAGATGAGTTGTAGGAAATGTCTTCCCCTTCAAGATGAGCATTGGATGGGATTTTTCTGATGAACCATGAAAAAGTTATGCCTTGGTCAAGTTACAGTTGACTTTTCAACTGTCCAAAAATAGAAACTTTTGACACCTTGATGATTTTTGAGCCATTCTTGTGAAATCATGGTCAAGACTTGACCAAATGATGATTGTGGCTTCAAAATAAGATGTTGACCAAAATTTTTGACTTTTGACTGCCAAATGACCATTTTGCCCTTGCAGTTGACTGTGAGGCAATTAGGGTTTTTGACTGTGCAACTTGACCTTGTGAGCCTTGAAACTTGACATGTAGGTGCTTGACAATGTATATAGGTATGTGGGACTTGATTGAGCCCTTGAAAACCTCAACTTCCTTGCAGGAACCAAAACCCTAATTTTGACTGTGTTAGGAGAGTGGTTGACTGTGTAGCCCTTGAGTACACTTGAGCAATTTGAGGTGATGCTTTGTCAAAACCTTGAAGATTATGGGAGGGCAAATTTTGGGGTACAACAGTTGCCCCTGTTCAATCTTCTTAGACCTGAGGATTTAGATTGGCTGGCGTGCCTTTCGTGATCCGAGGGTGGAAGATGATTGAACACTAGAGTGCCCAGAAATTTGCACTCACATAGTAGAGTATCAGCAGTGTGATAGCGGAAATGGGCTTACAGATGCCATTTGGAGGGATGGTGGATAGGAGGATGGGCTTATAGATGCCATCTGGAAATGTGACAGAACCTTGTCGGGAATGGGCTTATAGATGCCATTTGGAACTGTAATGGGAGGATGGGCTTATAGATGCCACCTAGGTGTCGATCGCGTAAGAGATTCCTTAGCGAGGACTTGCGTACCTGAGAAAGAAAGATAATTACCTTGGCCCGTTACAGGGGTTGATCAACAGGAATCGAGTCCGGAAAATAGTCGTCAATAGATACGCCCTGGCTGGATACAGGAATCGGATCTTCAAACTCTTCAGACGTGCCATGGCAGGATACAGGAATCGAGTCCGGAAAATAGTCGTCAACAGATACGCCCTGGCTGGATACAGGAATCAGATCTTCAAACTCTTCAGACGTGCCCTGGCAGGATACAGGAATCGAGTCCGGAAAATAGTCGTCAACAGATACGCCCTGGCTGGATACAGGAATCGGATCTTCAAACTCTTCAGACATGCCCTGGCAGGATACAGGAATCGAGTCCGGAAAATAGTCGTCAACAGATACGCCCTGGCTGGATACAGGAATCGAATCTGGAATTGATCGCTCACAGACATGCCCTGGCTAGATACAGGTATCGAATCTGGAATTGCGACAGTTAATAGTAATTATCTTTGGATTGACCTTTTTCCTGAAAAGGTAAAACATCAGTTGTATGCAATGTCATGATGTATGACATGCGTGATGTTCTCAGAATAAATGAGATTGTATGTCCATGATGCGTATGTGCATGCTATAATGTATGAAGATGTGATGTTCATGAATGTATTTTTGTCTAGGAAAGTAAATCATTGACGAATGCCGGGAAGTTGTTGAATCCTGAGCTGATGTCGAGAGTAGAGTTCTTCGTTTCCGCTGGGGATGACGGTTGCAAGAATAAACCAAATCGGAGAAGATGACTCTGTGATCGGTGGATCTGGAACTGACTGTTTTTTAGCTGGTTTCGCGAAATGTCGCGGTAAGCAAGAGTCGCCACCGTCTTTTATTTTCTCCAAATGGAAAGGACAAAAGCATAGAAAAATTCCTTATTGAGATTGTTTCTCGGTTCGGGAGGTAGATTTATAGAAAGGGAAGGTGTTAGCACCCTTTCTATCCATGGTTATCCATGGGCTCTTAGATACTTGCTCATTTGTGTTTTCAAAATGTTTGTTTGCTTTTCAAGGTGAGTGGGTTTGAAAAAGTTCCGTTTAAAATTTCAGTTCGACTCTTGTATCAGTCCTCAAGAGTGTTTGAAAAGTTGTTTTTGAAAGCTTTTTGCAAAGTGTCGGTGTGAAAAGAAGTTTTTGATTTGTTTTGAATTAGAGCAAGTATCTATGAGTCATCTACCTACCCTAAGGAATTAGTCTGTGTAAATGTCCTTGAGGTTGTGCCATCCCACCATTGAGAGGTAGGTAGCACCACCGTTGGAGGTGTTTGGGTCAATTCGAGGGTTAGGGACAGTGTGGTCACCGGGCAATAGTAAGATACCTTAGAAGCTACCCTTATGCCATTGATCTTTTTATTCCGAGGCAACCGTTTCGAGGCAACTTGTTTCGAGGCAACTAGATCAATGGAACATAAGGACTTACTAAGACGTCCTGTACTCGACGACCACGTTTCGAGGGGTAAGGCAACAGTGTGATCACCAGAGCAACAGTAGGATACCTTAGAAGCTACCCTTATGCCATGTTCATGGACATAAGGACTTACTAAGACGTCCTATACTCGATGACCACCTTTCGAGGGGCAAGGCAACAGTGAGGCGTACCCTAAGAGTGGTGTGTGAATTGTGTGTCATTTTCAGTTTATTATTCGTCTTGTCATGCATTGGTGATCTACGTTTTGATTTTATTTTTGGGCATTCATTCTTTCATGTGATTGTTTAACAGTTAAAGGTGCGGGAATTTAAAGTGCGGGAATTTAAAGTGCGGAAAAGATAAAGGTCCTACGCTATTACAAAGGCGCGGGTCTACATCGCCAAATTAAACCAAAACCCGATTTAAAATAAAGTGCAGAAAGTAAATGCCTAATTAACTATTACAGGGCTTTGGGGCAAATACATTACATTTATAAAAGAAATAAAGTAAACGCGCGAAAGGAAATTATAATCGAAATGCGAGGGCGTTGGACCCTTTAAAGAAATTAAAATGAGATTATTAAATTAATTAAGTTAAATAAAGGAAAGGACTTATTTTTTATGTTTTTGGATTTATGACATTAAAGAAAATTAAATTGGGATTGAAAGTTAAATAACTCTAGTTCTAATGGTTTTTTAATTTATTAAAGAAAATTGTCTAAGTTAAACCTAATTTAAGCCTAATTGATTAATTACAAGTATTTACAAAATTAATTAATGGTTAATAATAATTATAATAAGAAAATATAAATATTTATTTAAAAAAGATAAAAATGTGCTAAAGACCTATTTTTTTATATTTTTGGTTATTGAGAAAAAAAAAAGAATTAAAGTTAACAACCTAAAATTAAAACTAAATTAATTATTGAATTTTATTTGCAAAAAAAATGTTGATGAATTAAATTAAAATAAAACATATTTTTATCTTTTTCATGATTTTTCTGATTTTTGTTTTATGAAAATTGTTTTGATGAATTAATTAGAAATAATAATAAAACAATGAAAAGAAAGGAAACAAAATGCAAACTGTGGGGGGGGTGTTGACCCCAATTGAGGAGGTGGTTTGATGAATTAAGCCCATTTGAATGAGGCCCTTTTCTGACTTTTTGAATCACATGCTTACGCGTTGACTGGAGTATTCCATGGACTCTTGGTTCTTGGCCACTGGATGGATCATCAGGGACACATGGCAAGCACAAACGCTGGGCGTATGATGGACTACTGAATGACGCACTGCATGGGAAAGGGTTAAACAAAATAATAGAAATAATGTGAGGGGACCTGGGATTCGAACCCAGGTCCCAGTGTTTACCAATGAAAGCCTTTACCAAGTGAGCCATTTGCGCGCTTTGTACATAAAATGGAGAATAAACAATATAAAGCAAAATCAACATTAATGTTATGAAATAAAAAAAGGGGCGCCGGATTTCAAACCATCCACTCACGCCATGCCACGCTAACCTTCGTCTCCAATTGTGCCTGTAATAAAATGAAATAGCGGGGGTTTTAAACCCCCCCAAAGCACCGTCCACAGAAAATAGCGAATAGCTCATGGTGAAAAAGAAATAAGGCGCGATGGTTAAATTCCATTCATTGGAAGGTTCTGATTTCAATGGTAGGGGTCTCATGGTCCAATTATTCCAGATATGCAAAGCCCTAAAATTAGAGCTCTGAAACCCTAAGCAATGTCCATGGTGAATTCGCGTACAGGCCTTGAAAACTCAATTAAATCATGCTATCAGCTTCAAAACATTCAC